AGCCTAATGCTAAGATCATAATCTTGCATAAAACTAATATTCTTTCTCGAATTTTGATAGAATAATTACTAAGTTTTTACTAACCTTACTTCCACATGGTAACGCAATGACACACATACACGTCTGTTTCTCTCTCTACACTTCTCTTTTGGAAAACTGCATCAATTAATGCTCTCTCTATCTAACTTTCTCTCACTATATTGTATACATATATACAAATGTATACAAACTGCTCAATGAATATTGTATGAGAAGATTCACGAAAATTCTAATTTCACATATGCATGCAATTCTCATGCTCTTGTGGGTCTTTTAGTTTCTAGTGATTTTGTACTTAATTCTTTGTGTGAAACTAGAATGCAGACCTATATATTTGAAATTTTTTTTATGGGATTTTGGAGTTCTGACCTTTTATTGGTACTAATCGACACGTAAAGATTTGTGTTGTTGAGTTTTTCTTTTCTTTCTTTATTGATGATTTATCTACTTGGTAGATTGCTATTGCTGCTTGGCGGCTTGTGGTATCGGGTTTTTAGGTGATGAAGACGGGGACTGTGCTGTAAATAACATACTTATGGGCCCCTGCATGCAATTAGAGAAAAATGGCCTGTTTTGAAAATATTAAGAGAAGGACTTGTTATGTAATAGGTATAATTAGAGAGCCTGTGATTAATTTTAAAATCGGGGTCAAAGTGCAATTTTTGAAAGGAGTATTACACTTAAATTTGGAAAGGGGTTTAAATTTGATTTTTAAAGTTTCGACTCTAAAATTTCAATTTTGACCCAAATTAAAATTTTATTTAAAATTGACCCGTTTAATAATAATAATAATAATAATAATAATAATTGACGATTTCTATATTCGTGTCAAAATGTTTATTCGTTTAAATGTTGATATTGTTTGTCCGTTTAAATTTTAAATTTCATTTTTCACATATATTGAAATTTCGTTGCCCAGTTCGTCTCTCAATCACATATAAATTTTTGTCTTTCATCGATTGACGATTATGATTTGTCACATTATTGTTGTTCTGTAATTGAATTTTTCATGGGCTTTGAGACGATCCTTATTTTCTCACTAAGAGAAATATTTTGAAATAAAATTGGGTGGTAGCTGTCAAAGTGGCACACTCATTATCATTTATTCAACTTTCTCTACAACCAAAAAAAATATATATATATATATATATTATATAGCGCAACGATTTTGATTTACTACATATAATATATTGCCCAAAGTTGTTATTATATATAATATTTTTTGGAAAATGGCATGAGGCAGTTAATGAGTTTGCCTTTGTCTAAAAATCTCCTTCTGCCCAAAGGTGTTAGAATTTCGAAAATCAATGTGATTTTGTTAACTAACTATATAATGTGTTTTAAGAGTATCTTACAGCATGTTGTATTGTCAGCCCAAATGTGACTTTATGATGATGCATCTAGGCTCTTACCATAATAAGATTCATATGCTTTTGATTTAATTACGGATTATCTAATTAATAGCCCGTGTTAATTAGTTGGATATTTTATCATCTATTTGATTGCATGCATTATGTTTGGACGTTATTGAGTATGATATTTTATGTTTTCACAGTTTATAATGCCTCATCTCTTTTGAGTCAATTATCTGCTATTGAAACCTTAACTGGGAATAATTATGTGAGATGGAAACGAGATGTTGAGATAGCACTTGGTCTTTTGGGCTTAGATTTTGCAATGGAGAAAGAGCCTGAGAAACTTACAGATAAGAGCACGGTTGAATATGTAGCCGAGTATGAAAAATGGGAAATAGCTAATAAACTTTGTTTGAAAATTATTAAGCGCTTCATATCCGATCCCATTATCGATGCTATCCCCGATAATGAAAATGCTAAAGGCTTTATGGATGTCATAGGAGAGAAATTTATTGAGTCTGATAAAGTCGAAACTGGGGATCTAATGGATAAATTGAAGAGCATGAAATATGATGATACAAGTGGTGTTAGGGAGCATGTCATGAAAATGATAAATATATTATCTAAGCTAAAGGTTCTTAATATTCCCATTGCGGAGCCTTTCCTGGTCTATCATGTTTTAAATAGCCTTCTTACGCAGTTTAATTAGTTTAAGGTTGCTTATAATGCTCAGCGGGATAAATGGGATTTGAATGACCTAGAGCAGTGCCTACCCAAAAAGAGTATAGGATGCACCGTGAGACTGTTGAAACTGTGCAATTAGCTTTTCAGCCATCACAAGAGGCCCTCACATAACAATAAGTCTAAGTTTCGTAAGGGTAATAAGTCCCACCGAAATCAGCAGAATAAAAAATTTAGCGGTCATGAAAGAATTATGAAGAAAAAAGATCAGTGCAAGCTCTGTGAAAGGAAAAGTTACTAGCAGAAAGACTGTTTTAAGTTTAAAACTTGGTTGGAAAAGAAGAAGAGTTCTTTATGTATTCTCTTTGCCTTAGTTTGTTTTGAGTCTTCTTTAGTAGATGTGTTTTTAAATTCTTGGTAATTAGACTCGAGAGCTAGTATTCATATTGCGAATTCCTTGCAGGGGTTCACAAGCAAACGGAGGCCAAGTGAGAATGAAGTGAGCTTGAGCATTGATAATGGAGTTCAAGTGAAGGTTGAATTCATAAGAGTAGTCAAGTTGAGCTTAGAGTCTGGTTTTTCTCTTGTTTTGGAGAATACAGTTTTTGTACTGCAAATGAAATGAAATTTAATTTCTATATCGAAACTTGATGCTTGTGGTTTTACATTTAACTTTGGTAATGGAATGGTTGAGTTGTTTTATGATTCTCGTTTGATTGGGAATGGCATTTTATGTGATGATTTATATAGATTGTCTTTCGCTCCTTTTTTGTGAACTCTCATGTATTACCAATGTATCAAAGAGAAGGGCTTCAATTCGTGAATCATTCTCTATGTTGTGGGATAATCGTCTGTGTCATATTTCTAAGAATAGAATGGAAAGAATAGTAAAACTTGAGATACTTTCCTCTTTTAGTCTTCTCTGATTTTGATACCTGTGTGGATTGTATAAGAGGAAAGCTAACTAAGTCTACAAGGAAGGGTTCAACTAGGAGTAATGGAATTTTGGACTTGATACAAATTGATATCAGTGGACATTTGCCTTCCATTATATGTGAGAACAAATACTTCATAACTTTCATTGATGATTCTATATGCTAGTGCTGTGGGGAGTTTGATGTATGCTCAAATTTCCACCAGATCAGATATAGCCTATGCAATCAGTGTTCTTAGTAGATTTCAATCAAATCCAAGACAAGAGCATTGGAAAGCAACTAAGAAAGTTATGACATACTTGAAGAAAACTGAAGGTTATGTGCTTACATTCCAGCATTCAAATCATCTTGAGATGGTAGAATATTCAGATTTTTATTTTCCTGGATTTCAAGATGATCAACCCCAGGTTATATTTTTACATTAGCTGGTGGTGCTATTTTTTGGAAAAGTGCTAAACAGACTCTAGTGGCATCTTCTACTATGCAAGCTGAATTTGTAGCATGTTATGGGGCTACAGTCCAAGCCATTTGGTTAAGAAATTTTATCTTTAGCCCGAAGGTTGTTGATTCCATCTCAAGATCGATCACCATATACTGTAATAACAGTACAGAAGCATTCTTTTCAAAGAATAATATAAGTTCTGGTAGTTCAAAGCATATTGACATCAAATATTTGATAGTTAGAGACAGAGTCAAGGAAGGGCCGACGAAAACATAGCATATTAATACAGAGGCAATGATTGCAAATCCTTTGACTAAGAGACTCGCTCCAAATGTCTTTAAGGCACATGTTGCCAATATGGACATTATGGAAACATTTGATGTTTTTTGTTAGTGGGAGTTATTTATGTAAAAGAACTACATTTTGGGCTTGATTCCTTTGCGGGGTATGTAGACAACCCATATGTTTCAGATACAGTCCATTCTGATAATAAGATATTTTTCCCCTATCCATGAATTTTTGAGCATGCATTTAACTTATATCTTTTATTATGATATTATAGTAATATCGAGATGTGATAGATAAAAACATAAGATGAGTCTCTTTTGGAGACATGTGGTTTCATTTGATCTGAAGCATTATGAGATCCGATTTGAATTAACACAATTTTTTATCACATTTGGTGCTAAGTTCATATCACATACTATCACATTGGTTGGAGGATGGAGATTCATATCTATAAGGATGTTGGCATTTGTAGCTGTGGAATGGTCTTATATCGCTTAATTGGTGTAACGACTTCCATGATCGGTGTTAATATTCTTGTTGGACCAGATCATGTTGCGTAAGGTGTCATCATTGGAACTATACTTTTTTGGCCACGTATGTAGTCTAACCCGAGTGTTAAAAGTTTTGTTATAGCAATCAAATGTTTGTTCAAGTGGGAGAATGTTGGAATAATTTCAAATATGGGCTTCAAATTCGATTGTAAATTTTATGGGTTAGATGTATGACTCATAATGATATTTGTGATCGGGCTAAAATTTATTAAGTTATTAATTGGGCCTACACCTTATGGATTATAATTAATATGATGTGATAATTTTAAGTATGTGGACAAAAAATAAACTCTAATTAGAGTTCTAATCATAATGAGACGGCTCAATTATTTCCTATTTAAAGGCTAGATTCTCTCTCCTCTCTATATTGTTTTATTAGCTTGCCTTATTGATGGCTTATACTTTGTTAGGAGTAAGGAGAGGAAGATCTGACAACTATTACAACTATTATTCGCATCAACAATGACTTTCGCAGGTATGAATTCGATTTATCAATTTATAATTATGTGATTCTTGATCCTTAGCATGATTGCAATTAAATTCAATATGAGATTGCAAATTTTTGTATTACAGCGCCGATTTCATGCGTGTGAAAGCAGGGGGAATATATACTTAGTGCAATACATTTTCTGCTATATGAAACAAAGGAAATCACGGCAACAGATTACTACTAACAGAAAATGGGGAAAATATAGATGAAGAGTGAATGAGGAAGTAACAGAACTATTTCTCTTTCTGCAAGATTTCATATATAATTCTCCTCTTTTTGATTTAGGGCTTACAATAGTATTTATACACACTCCAAAATACTGTACAAATTACATTGTTAGCCCTCATTTGTTTTACACATACTTCGTGTTTTCTACAATAAAACACAATACATAATAAAAATCTAAAACCTTGGCTCAAATGGAAACAGTTATACTATGATTATTGTCTTTTCCAACTGGCATTGTTTTATGGGAAAAATAAAAGAAAGACGACTGAAATACTTGGGAAAGTTTTATGGGAAAAATAAAAAAAGTTCTGATCTTGAGCTGGAATACTGATCCTTTCCACGACCATCCAAGCATTTTTCGCCATGATTAAACCTTGCTTAATCTTCGAGATCCAGACTTATAACATTTCAAGCTTCATTACGACTTGAATCATTGTAGGCCTCTCCTCATATCGTTCTCTTAAGCACATCTCTGTCAGCACAGAAACTTCGTTCAGCTGCTCGATGTTATCCCCCATCCGCAGACGATCTTCAAGAATTTCAACTATGCGACCTCCTCTGAATGCAGAAATGAAATATTCAGCCAAAAATTCTTCTCCTCTTGGCCTGTTAGAGTTTAGCACCTCATCTCCAGTCAATAGCTCCGCTAGTATAATACCAAAATTATACACATCACTCCTTTCGCCGTCTGTACCCGGCAATCCTGTGAATGAAGGGGACGATACTTTTACCGTGTAACCATGGTCCAGTAGTATGTTGGAGCTATTGATGTCTCCATGAGTAATTGGTGTTTTGCCACCAGAATGCAAGTATGAAAGGGACTTTGCAGTTTCAGTGGCTATCTGAAGGCGACGTTCCCAGGGAAGAAAAGAAAACTCATCATGAATAGAATCATACAATGTTATATCGGCATAGAACTCATAAACCAGTAATGGAGCTGGTGTCTCTAAACAACAACCAATCAGTTTTACCACATTCATGTGGTCTATACGTGAAAAATTGACCAATTTACAAATGAAATCCTGAATCGGCATTGGATCAATTCTTTCACACTTCTTTACGGTGATCAGTCTGTTTACTCCATCTTCAAGTAAAGTTCCTTTGTAAACTGGTTCATTCGTATCTCTATGGAAGACTCTACTTTCATTGTAGTTGTCTGTAGCCCTGCTGAGATCTTCTGCTGTGAAAACTGTACAACTTTTCCTTCTTAATTGCATTCTTTCTAAAATCAGTCCACCATTTTCCACGAACAACTTCCGTCTTAGATTAGCGATTTTCATTTTCTTGCTTCTCCAAAATATCCAAGAAATTCCAACGACAGGAAAAATGAGACCTGTTTAAAATTGGAATAATTTCCGTCAAATTTGTTTATAAATCAACATTTCCTCCAAACACTACCAAATACACCTTGAAAAAAAAAAGGAATTAAAAATTTGTCTGTCCCTGCTCTCAAATGGTCCCTAAACTTTAAAGTATGAATACTGAGTCGTCAAAATTTATAATAATTTACCTCATTAGTCACTGTAATCGATTTTGTCCACAGAAACTAATGGAGAACAACACCATAGTTGAATCTGCTAAAAACGACATGTAGACAACTAATGTAAACATGACCAAACAACACAAAATAGATTTTAACCCTCAGGTTTAAGGTCCACCGTTATTCCGCATAGGCATACCATGAGCGAAATCAACCTTACCGTTAGGTTGGTCTCACAAAATCGATTTCAGTGATCAGCATGGAAAATTCCAATAAGTTAAGGGACGGATCATTTTTTTTGCAAAAGAACAAAAAACAAAGGAGCATACCTAAAGCAACAGAGAAAGGTAGGGAGCTTCGCTCGTTCTTCGGGTTGGAGACTAGCATCTTTCTTTGTATAAGCTACAACCGCAGCGACCTTATATACTGTACGAGGATTCTGCAATTAAGATTAGAAGAGCTTCAGGATTGAACTGCGCTTGTTGTAACTTTGGTTGGACACTCTTTACGGTATTGCGCTGGAATTCATTTGTTCATGTAAAATGATTTTCTTTACGGGAAGTTTTCAACTTGCGTTTGAAACTTCTGCACCCTTCATAACAAAACCAAAATATAGAAGGATTGGGAAATCGGAACGTACTATGAAATTTCATGTCTAGAGATATTTTAATCGCTTGTCTTCTGGAGGGGAAGGCTGCAGTTTCTTGGAACGTGCCTGTTAATTAAATGCCCTAAGTCCAACTATCGCTAGGGTAAACACAACATTCATTTGATTAATGTATTTATATAATTGAGTAGTGGCATAGCATTATTATAAGTTACCACATAAAATGCTACGTAGGATAACTAATGTCGTCGCTGATTATGAATAAAATTATTGTATATTATTAATGGCAAATCTATTACTCCAATTACGCCAATTTATTGTACTACTAGACGTGTAAACAAATAGCAAAGGCAATAGTAAAATTATTGATTGACAATAAATAGTAACATTTTTCATCTGTTAAATTTCATAGATAATCAAATGGTATAATTAAATAAAAAAACAAATTAATCATTTTTAGACAAATTTTCCAATCGAGGATTCCATTTGTAAATTTCAACCAAAACAATTAGCTGGTAAACATTTTGTTCTGCGTGCAATATATTAAAAATAATCATAGTACTCTCGAAAAACATTTATATGTCATGAAAAAGACTTGTCATATGAAGAAGTCCCCAGGATAAGATTTGATAGAAAAGTGCATTAACTCAGAAATAAAGAGGTCCCTCGGGTCAAGTTTGAATGGCGAATTCATTGGCTTGACGAGTCAACTTGCGAGAAAGAAGAGGACCAAGTATCCAGAACTCTTCGATTAGCTTCGTAATTTTTGAGGACGGAAATATTTTAAGAAGGGGAGATTGTAAAGTCCAAAAATAAAAAATAAAAAATTATAGAATTGAATTAATTGTTTAGGTGTTATATTTTAAATTTTTAAAAGTTGAAGGACTAAAACAGGATAATTTTAGATTCTTATAATTGCATTTTTCTTTGGTCTTTGCTTATAAAGTCAGTTGTAGATTTTTCTGCTATAGATAATTTTTTTTTTTTTTTTTAAATAACGAAACCGCGTCTATACTGCGTCTTCCTTTTGTCTTGAGAATATTTGTACTCGTTTTTGTTGGTACTCATTTTAATAATGAATATAATTAAAGTTAATCAAATACTTAGAAATGGGCTCGAGAAATTCGCACTTATTTAATATTTTTTTTTATATTAAAAGAGGGGATGGGGTGTGTACTATTCATATGTGTACCATTGCTTTCACATTTCATTTTTTGTGCACTATTGATGATCTGTTTATTCTACAGTGATAGACGCAATTGTTGAAAATTCTCTAGAAGCCACAATTGTTGACCGACTTTTTTCTGAACTTTAATTGAACCGACTCCCAATCAAAATAATAAATAATTAGTCATAACTTGCAAGAGAGCCCCCCCACCCCACCCCACAACCCAATGTTGTCTTGTCTAAAGTCATATTGTAAATTGAAAAGTTTGTGAACGTCGTGAATTTCATGAAACATTTGATTAAAAATGAGTTTGAGAAAAATGGAGCAGACTTGATCTCTATTTTACTTTTGAGTTAAATGGTAGGACTAATTTTTACCGTTTCTACATCGAGATGCCACTTTCTTCATGCTTGCTTTATTAATGCTTAATCATGAGATTATTTGGGTAACAGTTCTCCAAGAAATGTCGTAGTCCACATTGAAAAGGGAATCAAATCATATTATAATATGCTATAATGGAAATTAGGTACTATTCTTTTACTTTTGTTTAGAAATTCAAGACACTTTTCTTCAGTCTTTGCTTAAAAAGTCGGTTGTAGATTTTTCTGCTATACATAAAGTTGTTTTTAAAAAAAAATAATAATAATAGTGAAACCGCGTCTAAACATCGTCTTCCTTTTCTCTTGAGAATATTTGTACTCGTTTTTGTTGGTATTCATTTCGATAATGAATATAATTAAAGTTAATCAAATACATGGAAATGGGCTCGAGAAATTCCCATTTATTTAATATATATAAAGTAATTAATTTATTTGAGTATTGTATTTCTTACATTAACATGGTAGGTCAAAATCCTTTGTATTGAATGTATGATAAAACTATTGGATCTTAATTTTTAATTCAAAACTTTGTGTTTTTATCTTGATTCCCATGTTTTGATTCCATTAATATACATAATTACATTGTTTTAATGTTTGAGCACCATTAAAACAAGGAAAATTCTACTTGTACATAATTATTGTACATATTGATGTCCATAATGTGATGTGGAAATCATCTGATTATTGATGTGCAAGTGTGAGATTTGAATTAAAGGTTGGATCCAGTGCCACGTGTAATTATGGATACCATTATGTAGACAATTATGTACATGTAGTACTTCCCTTAAAACAATAGGTTGCTTATTCGTAGTGTTAGAAAACTCACGGTAGGTAGAACACTGTTACACGAGCAATAAATGTTAGGAAATATATTTATGGTGTTTGTGATCATATATGACAATCCTAAATGTCAATGCATTTTGCCATATGAATTCAGATTAGGAATAGGATCGTTTCGTGGAAACCATAGGTTCATTATGTCTTAGAAAAGAATAACAAATAAAAGTGGAATTATCGATCGTCACAATTGTAAGAGTTGAGATAATTGTCACTCGTTGAGTATTAGAACTAAGAATTGATTAGTAGCGTCAGAAATCCATTACGTTCACTCATTTGATTTTTAAACCAAACTTTTATTGATTTTAGAAGTTTTAGTTACAAAACTTAATTAGGTATTCACAATCATGTTTTGGTTACAAACACGAATTTTAATATATCAAATATACTATAATTGAACCTTATTCCTTATGGGACGTAACTCTCTTATCACAATTATTACTTATACAACGAACTCGTACGATTGCGAAATTTCTATGAAAACCCGATCGATTTCTCGTTCTTTGCATGAGTATTGACTTTCCCTTTCTCAGCTCTTCTATTTTGAATGATTTCAAGAAGCAAAATATCAATTTCAGTTTTCCTAGATTCAGCCTCACTAGACCCATGTCTCAAAGACTCAAAGGAATAATTCATGTTTGTTGTTGTGTTTGCAACGACTGAAGTAATCCATTTGCATCCTGTGTCTTTCCCATCAAGGTAAGGTTCAACAAGGTGGTATTTCAGTGGCCCTGGTAAAGCTTTAGCAATGAACATTGGCAAAGTTTTGTTCCAGAGTTAGTGATTATGCAGGCGATTGAACTATTTTCTTCATTTTTTTTAGCTTTCAGATTGTGTCAACATGTCATTTTGGAGGAAAGACTTGTGCCTATTAAATTTTGATCAAATTTATTAGTCACCAAATTAAGTTTTGGATTTTCAATTTCATGTCATTTGAGGAATTAATTTCGAATATCATTTTCACTTTGTTTAGTATTAAACTTATGAAAATTAGTGTATTATGCCTTTTTTTTTTCCCTCTAATCTTTATAGAACTGTAACTTAAGACAGTTGATGTTCAATGTGAAATCTGTGAACTTGCAAAGCATAAACATACATCATTTCCAAAATCCATATACAAACCATTGAAGCCATTTTCTATGATTCATAGCGATATTTGGGGTCCCTCACGAATTCAAAACCGTACTTACTCTAAATGGTTTGTTACATTCATTGACGACCACACTCGAATCTGTTGGATTTACCTACTGAAAGATAAATCTGAAGTTCGGGATGTATTTGTCAACTTCCACTTGATGATTCAAACACAGTTCCAAATCGAAATCCAAATCTTGCACACTGACAATGGCACCGAGTACTTCAACAACATCTTAGGTGACGATCTCCAAACACATGGCATAGTTCACCAAAGTACATGTGTTGATACTTTTCAACAAAATGGGATTGCTGAACGAGAAAATAGACATACACTAGAAGTCCCCCATGCCTTAATGTTCACTATTAACATGCCTAAAATATTATGGGGGATGCTATCCTTACATCCATTTATCTCATTAACCGAATACCTAGTCGAGCCCTAAACTTTGAAATTCCTCTTCGAAAATTCCAAAAATATTTTCCGACTTCTCGTCTCAGCTCCAATCTATCTCTACGAGTGTTTGGGTGTACAGCCGTCGTTCATGTCCAACATCATCAAAGAAGCAAACTCAATCCCTAGGCTATTAAATGTGTCCTAATTGGCTACTCTCCTACACAAAAAGGATACAAATGCTATGATCTTTCCACAAAGCGGACACTTGTAAGTCTCGATGTCATGTTCTTCGAAAATAAGCCCTACTTTGAAAAAAAAAAAAACCTATCTTCAAGAGGAGACCTCACATGAATATTGGTTTTCTGACCTCAGTCTCTCCCCTTTTGAACCTGCTCTATTTATCCTTCCATCCGATACTAATATGCCATTAAAAGAATGAAACTTAAATTTAGGGAAAGATGTGGAAAAACAAATGGATAAGGAAATATTAGTTTACTCAAGAAAGCCAAAATAAAAGAACATGGAAAATCTCGTGATCGAAGCACCAAGAGAGTCAGAACCGATGGTAGCTCCAGATCCTCAGAAAGAATCAGAGATACCTGATACTGACCTACCTATTGCCCTCAGAAAATAGACACGGTCATGTTCTCGATACCCTATCTTATGTCATATACTGCTCTATCTACAGAATTTCGTATTTTTATAGCTCGCCTTGATAGTACAGTTATTCCAAGGAATATTCAAGAAGCATTGGGAATTGCAGAATGGAAACAGGTAGTTTTGGAAGAAATGTGTGCATTAAAGAAAAATAAAACTTGGGAAGTGATGAAATTGCCACAAGGAAAGAAATCAGTCGGATGTTAATGGGGTTTCAGCTTGAAATACACAGCAGATGGAACCATAGATCGGTATAAAGCTCAATTGGTTGCTAAAGGATATACTCAAACCTATTGTATTAACTACATAGAGACAATTGCACTAGTAGTAAAGTTGAATACAATTCGAGTCCTTCTATCAATAGCGGCAAATTTGGACTGGCCACTCCAACACCTTGACATTAAAAATGAATTTTTGAATGGAGATTTGGAGGAAGAAGTGTTTATGACTTTACCACCAGGTTTTTGTAAGAAGGAGGAAAAAGGTCTAGTATGCAAGCTAAAGAAGTCATTATATGGACTCAAATAATCACCAAAAGCATGGTTCGATAGA